AATGCTGTGCAAGTCTAATATCAACATTAATTATTTCATGTGCAAAGTACCGTCTTTCCGCCCAGCCAGCCGTTGAGCACAAGATGAACCTAGTCGGACTTGATGGGAAAATGTTCGTGCGTATATTTAGTTCCAGGGTGAAACTCCGTCATCTGGAAATAGGACAGGTTTGTTCAAAACGGCTAACGAAAATGTTATTCATAACATTAAAAGGAAAGTAAAAAGGATAAATTTCCAAAGTTGGGAAGACAGCAAAATGTCTACGGTATCTTTACTGGATTAATATATTCTTATCCTTTCCCTTATTGTTAGACAGTGCATTCGTTATTGCATGTTTTTAGTTCTTCGCTGCTGTTGCACAACCCTCCGAATAAGGTGTTGGTTTCGAAAGTTCGGAACGCTGGCGGCAAAGATCCATTCTTCACATGCTTCCGCAAATTTTACTTTTGCCAAACAGAGGCAGTCGGTTCAGTCAATTGCCATTGGTCAAAAAAATCTATTCTCCATAATAGAATGCAGCAGAGCAACTGACGAGCATACGCAAGCCTTCGATAAATTCTCAGCCGATCATTATATTTTTATTTCTCATGGGGCTATTATTTTTAGATGGGAGCGGGGTCAATTATGTTCGTCAGTTCATCCAAGTGAGTGATGGGATTAATGGGGATAGGGGGTGGGAGTCGATAAGAGACAGCTGGTTACGTGGCCGTTAGGGTTCGTTGGAGCCGTTCCAGGGGAAGAGGGGGCAGAGGGAAAAAAGGGGCACGGAAGAATGCATGAACTTAAGCGACCGTTGGTCATCCTAGGCGCTGATTTTAACGGGAGTTCTTATGTGCACACAAAACCAGCCTCCTCAATCTGATGGCAGCCGCTTCTACTGTTGCTAGCACATTATGGCCTTATAAAGCGCCCGGAAGGCTTTGTTGAGGTCCACATTATGTCCAGAATCAACAATGTGCGCGAGGAAGGCGTTCTCTCATTGTTTTAGATAGACACCGACTGCTGCGACTAATACAAACTGCTCTACAGGAGCAAGTAAATGAGTAGATGCTCATGGAGGTAGTCTGAGCTGACAATCTACCTTTACCTTCTTCGTACAAGACCGGGTTGGTTGAAATAGTGTCCGAAGTCTCACTGATACGGCTCGGTCAGAGTGTCTTTAAGATCAGCTTTTCTTTCGATAAACGCTTCTTTGGACACTACCGTCAGGCCTGAGACTTAGGAGGACGTTCAAGAAAGGGAATGAATCTGCTGTTTCCCCCTCTAACGTGAACTTGCTGGATGGATTTGTTTGTTTGACAGTATTTAAGGGTTGACTTACATTGGTTTCTATTGCGGCGGTCGCAAATATGCCAGCAAGATGGTGACCCTAAGGTTTCATTGGGTGGATCTCATCGCTAAGTTGGAATTCCTCCAGCTAGCTCACGTCTAGGTCGGCTAGGAGAGGTCAAAGAGGCGAGCCGATAGCAACTCTGTTGTGTTGTCTGTATAACTGGTTGTCAAGTAGGAACTGCAGATTTGACTCCGTTCCCGTATGGATTGAATGAGCCGATGATCATTTATGGAAAACTTGCGTATACGCGCAAAGCCAATCTTCCGGATTAATTCTTACTGGTTGATGAAATCTCACGAACATGTTCATAACGGCAACACAATTAAAAAAAAATCGAACACACAAAATCTGAGTATCAAAAGGGAGAGAGAGAGAGAGAGAGAGAGAGAGAGAGAGAGAGAGAG